CCGCCCTCAACGCCTTAATTGCCTCTGAAAATCTGAGCGATCTTGTAGGTCTCACCACCACAAACTTCGTAAATGCATCCACTGCCAACAGAAGATACTGATTGCCATTTGTACTGCGACAAAAGGGCCCCAAATGGTCAATATGCACTGTATCAAAAGGTATTGCCACTTTCTCAATGGTATGCAGTTTACCTGCTACTCTCCCAGTATCACCTTTGCCAAAAGCACATTTCAAACACGCCTGCACATATTTTTTGACAAAACGCCCCATTTTAGGAAACCAATACGTTTGCTTCATCAAACCCAAGCACCGTTCCAACCCTGGATGTCCAATGTCATCATGATGCTTACGCACCAAATTGAACCTCACCATCGCCGGTACATACAAACGCTTACCAAGTAAGGTTTTCCTATACAATCGCCCATTTACCACCTCATACACCGCCTTCACACCCTTGTCAGCAACACCTTGTGACAACGCTGTAACAATTGCCTGCGCCTTATCGTCCTGTAGTTGAACTGTCAGGAACCAATCATCCTCAGACAAATTCATCAGACATACATTTATAGGATTTCGGCTCAATGCATCTATGTGCATCATTTTTACACCAGGGCGATATTCCATCTCCATGTCATACTCCTGCAACGCCATCCACCAACGAGCAATTCGAGGCATCAAATCTCGTTTAAGCATAGTTGCCCTTACCGCCGAACAATCAGTCACCACCTTGAAATGTATACCCACCAAATAAACTCGAAATCGTTTTACTGATTCCACTACCGCTAAAGTTTCCAACTCAAAACTATGATACACCTGTTCTGCTCCTGTTGTCGCCCTGCTATAATACTCAATCACCTTGAGCTCACTATTTGCCTGTTTCTGTAGAAGAATTCCACCTAATCCAATCTGACTTGCATCGGTGTGTAACTCCGTTTCCGCTTCGCCATCATACAATGTCAGTACCGGTCGCCTAATCAATGCCGCTTTCAGCTCCTCAAACGCTTTCTCCTGAGGTTGGTCCCAACACCAAACAGCATTTTTCTTGGTGAGATTCGTTAACGGCCTCGCAATGATAGCAAAATGGTTGATGAATTTACGAAAATAGCTTGCCAAACCGATGAACTGCCGTACGCCATGGACATTTGTAGGAACTGGGAAATTTTCCACTGCCTGAACTTTCCGAACGCCTGGGCGAACCCCACCAGAACTAACCTCATGCCCCAAATACTCAAGTTTTTCCTTCAAAAACGAACATTTTGCCAGATTCAATTTAACACCCGCCTCTGAAATTAATTGTAACACTTTCTCAAGCAGCTCCGAACCCTCCTCTATCGTTCGTGATGGTATGAGCAAATCATCCATATACGCCAATACTTTATCATTCCTCAAACAACCCAACATCTTGTTCACAACTCGCTGGAAAACCGCTGGCGCATTCGCCAACCCGAATGGTACTCGCAGATACTCGTAATGGCCATCTGGAGTGATGAACGCCGTCTTGTGCACCGAATCAGGATGCATTGGTACCTGGTGATATCCCTGCGCCAAATCCAAAGTTGTATAAAAACATTTCCCTGCCAATCTGCTCAGCTGGTCACCTATAAGAGGAAGAGGATATCGATCTTTTACCGTAATAGCATTTAACGCCCTATAATCAACACACATTCGCAAATCGCCATTTTTCTTGGGTATCAAAACAATAGGACTGGCATATTCAGACTCAGTCTCTCGAATAATTCCGCTATCCAAAAGTTGCTGCACCTTGCCTCGAACGATTGCCCTTTCTGCATGAGACAATCTATATGGTCGATAAAATACAGGTTTATCAAGTTGAGTACGAATTTGCATAGTGCCCAAATGTGTTAAACCCAAATCATTATCTGAACTGGAAAAACATACAGCCATTTTCTGTAAAAGTTCATGCAAACGCTCCTTCTCACCATTGTTCAGCTCACCCATATCAACATGACTAAAATCTAATGTTATAACATCTACGCTCACCTTATTTATGTTCAATTTTTCAAGTTCCATCACAATTGCCCTGGATAGAACATCGCCCCTCCGCCAAGAAAACGGATCATCGCCGCAATTTCGAACAGTCATTTGGTTGTCCTCGCCTTCTTTCAGAAATTGATTGGGTATTGCCACCAGGACGCCTTGCTTCTCAAACATTTTCGGTGGTATCCACAGCATATCTCCTTCCTTGTATTCCGCCAAATCCACTTCCATCTTAGTCTCCTCGCCTGGTGGTACAGTGACGTCCCGCCGTGCTCGTAGACACCGCCTTCTTTCATCCACCATGTCGCCTTCTTCCAAAGTGATCGCCGCGATCACACTTTCTTCCACAGCCTTGGAGATGCTCGCCTTGCCGTCCTTGACTGTGAAAATGATTCCTTCACTGTTTAACGTCGGCTGCCCTAAAAGCAAATCAGCACCCACCAAATCACAATCAGCAATTAACGCCTTCACCTTCAGATCAATGTCATCGATCTTCAAGGCCAAATTCGTTTCGCCAATTGCTGTACATTGGCCCCCACCAAACCCCTTGAGAATCACAGCTGAGGGCGCCACTGAATGGATTTTCAAATTTGCCACACAACTAGCAGCAAGTATGTTGTGCTCACTTCCCGTGTCTAAGTACGCCTTCAACTGACGGCCATCAGCTGTGATTGCCTTTTTTTTGAAAATATTTCGATCAATATCACCCAATCTCACCTGTACGCCCTGCCTCGACTTGGGGTATTTATTGCGGGGACACGATACTCGCTCATGGCCTGTCTGGCCACAAATCATACACCTTTCCACCTTTGCCTTGGGACAGTGCTTGCTAATGTGAGTGCCCCATTCCTGGCAATTATAACATCTTACCTTGCCACTGTCCCGCCCACTTTCCCGCCTACTTTCTTCATTTTCCCTGTGGGTTGGCCTTGCCATCTTTCCCTTGTCTGACACCGTGCCTGAATAGCGCCTTTTCAAATCCGGTACAGTCGATGACATTGCCTTGTATGCATCAAATGAAGACAAAAAGCCCCCATATAAATCCCCAGGAGAGGTGCATTTGAATGCTCTCGCATTACCTTGCAACTCCAGAGGAAGTCCCCTGATGATGCAAGATATCGCCTTATCACCAACAATTTCACACCTTTCGCATAAGGCCATTTCATCATGAAAATAGCGTGTCATGCTTTCGCCGGGTAGTTTCACCCTCGCCAACATTTCCACCAACAATTCAGCATAATCATGCTGCCGAGGGAACGCCTTCCTCAGATTCGACTTCCACTCATCCCAACTCAGGTCATATTTCTCCAGCCGATTGAACCATCCCCGAGCTGCACCCCGCAATTTAGATTGCATGAAACATGACCTTTCGTATTGAGACCACCCGTGAATCGTCCCCAATTGATCTATTTTATTCAACCATCGTTCAACATTGCAATCTTTATTGTCTGGATCGAATGGCTCAAGAATCTCGCCAGTCGCTCTCGCCTCACCCCGGTTACGATCGGAGTTAGCACAGCACCCCACCCCGCTGCTACCAGCCATCCCACTAGTGGCAGCCACACCACTATTGTTAGGCGCACCACTATTGGCAGCGCGAGCCGCACCACTATTGCCAGCGCCAGCCGCACCACTGTTTCCACCTAAGAAACCTGAAATACTGCCCCCGATACGTTCACTCACCTCAACACGCCGAGTTCTTCCTACCTGTCTCTCCCCAGTGCCATACGCCTTGGACTCGCCCGAATTCGTTGTCATGCCTGCCATTAGTTTTCGGAATGCCAACGCAGTTTGCTTCGCCACAATTTCTTTAATCGTTTTCGCTAACCCATCGCCTAAATCTCCATCGGTCTGATTGTTCCTGTCTGGACTGGAACCATCACCCATCGATTCAATCTCATAATCCAAAACATCATCGTCAATGCCAACATGGAATTTGTTTTGTTCTGCCATCTTGTGTTCTCACAACAACAAAACCAAACACAATTTCACTGAATACCGCAAAATAAACGCCGATTCACCAACACTAGGCCGTGAGCCACTTATCACCACTTCTGAAACTGTTAGGAGTAATTATTCAAACACGCTTTTCTCAAAACAAACACCGTATATTCGCCTTTGCTATCGATATACACAAGCGTCTATAAACAACGGAGGCTCTCTCCGTCTTTTTCTGCGCCGTCAGTCCTCACTCAGTCCCGTTTCGCCCATTCCAGTGTTGCCACCTCGCCTTGGATTTCCCCTGCTTACACAATTTTTAAAATTTTCCACGACTTTCGAGTTTCTGCGAAGAGCAAAATAAATGGCCATCCTTCATAGCGGTTGTCACAGATTTTAGCTCTGTTGATATACATGTCATTTGCAGGGCTTGTAATAAAACTAATTTGATGGAATATCTTGATTTAACATATGAAATTGCGTCCTATGAAGTTGATCACCCGAGAGATCTTGTAACAATACATTTATGTTGCGCACATCTCATGAAAAATTTCAGTGAAGCTTAGTTTATTGCTAGGCGATTTTAGCTTTGGCGATACTAGCGATGAAACGTGATTGGTGAATTTGAATATGTGGGTAGAAGCCGCGGCAAATCTCGCGGTGGCCGGCGATGGGTTTATGGAATTGAATCAGGATGAATTTCTTGCGATAACTTTGGTGATTTTGGTCTTGAAAACACTCCAAATAACTATCATAACCTCACATTGTGACTTGGTTTGTTTCTTGAGTTTATTTTATAGTTTTTGTTCTGGTATATATGAGGTCCTAACAGGTCATGATCTTTAATAGTAGTATAGTGTTTTTTAGGTGATTTAGGAGATCTATATGGTCATAATGGCATCCAATGATGATGTCTTTTTTAATATCGTTTATCCGTTAACTGAAAATTACCAGTTTTATGTATCTGAAGAGGACGCTGAAAGGGCAAATTCTGATAAGTATAATGGGATACAAATTCACTATAAATATTCTCAAAACTTTGATCATTGATTTCTGTTTACAGATTCACGATTTGCTGATTGTTTACTGAGGCAAGCTCAAATTAACTATGATAGAGATAGAGATGTAGATGTAACCTTAATAAACGATTCAGATGAGAACACTACGAATTATAATAAACAACCTACTAATAAAGAATTGACAAGCAATTTCGACTCTACAGAATTACTTATTGCAGCAGTGTCTAAACGACCAACACTATATCTGATTTCAGAATCAATTTATCACAACGACCTAAGCATCTTGTTCATAGGTTGTGGCAAAAAGTATTCGAGGAGATTGGTGGTATGTTTATAGTTGAACCAATAAAGGTTCTGTATTTTACATCCATATATAACAATATAATACCATTTCAATGCAAGGAAGACTATGATGTAAAGTATATTTATTACATATACCTATTTCTTTGTATTTGCTATGATGTTTTTGAATATAATAATTGTATAGGTTGATACCCTGTGTGTTTCGCAATAATGATTAGCTGTCAGGTATTGCCTAAACATTTTTTGTTAATATTTTGAATATTATATTATGCTGATGGTCATTTCATGAAGTTCGTTGCCTTGTTCCAACTTATTGAGTTCAAATAGATACATGATTTGGTAAAGTTTGCATGTCAACAAACTTCAGGAAAAAACGACTGACTAAGGTTTTGAATGAAAACCGCGATTGATCGGGGATTACCATTCCAACCACGAATCCGAACGGTTGTCTGATATACGGTCATCTTGAATAATCGACTCTGAGCAATTCGTTGTTTTTATCCAAACATCCCAACAGCTATACAGAAATATCTATATACCTATAATACCAACAAAGGATAACCATACACAATGAAGCAATATTGACTCAACACTTCTGCACTACTTGCCATAAGTATAGGTATGTTTTGTATTCATATTTTGGTTTCTAGAATCTATCCCACTGGAACATCTAGCAACCAAGTTCAAAAACTTGAGAGACAGATATATTGCCTTGAGGGCCCAACATTTAAGAAAGCCCACACCTATTTTGAAGTAATTTATGAATCCAACCTCAGCTCAAAAACACTAGGTTATGCCAAGCTCCTTGGTTCGATCAGTTTAAAATAATAGGCTGTATATGCCACTTTTTCATTTTTCTTTTTCACGGTTTCTTCTACATTCCATTAGATAAATGAATATCATAAGCTCAACACCTCTTGGAGTCCTGGAATGCATATTTCATCATTTCACGATCAGGTTATGTTTTTTTTTTGTCACAGCATCGCCTGTACAAAATCTCAGCCATCGCAAGAATCGCAAGATTACGGCGTTTTCCCATTGAAAAACTATCGCTAATGCGAAATCGCCTAGCTATAAACTAAGCTTGAAGTTATTAATGATTGTTTTACGGATAATGAAGTGCGGGAATTCTATAAAGACATTGAGGCATCGGTGATAAATATGTATTTTTTTAGTGATATTGAAGATTGTTTTCAAAGTTTGTGTGTATTGTTACTCAGTTCGGTTATGAATAAAATTGTCCGTGAACATTTAGATATTTCATTAAATTCAAAAAACGCTGATCCCATCGACCTTGATATAGATTTTCGCGAGTGTAATAGGGTTAGGGATGACGGATATGAAACTGACGGAAAACGTGGATTGCATAAAACGAGTATATTTTATATCCATTTCCATAAATTGTACGAAAAAATCATCGAAATTCACAAATTTGCTTCTTATGAGGGGCCACCTAATAAATATTCCAGTGGAAAATTTTTGGATATAATACTATCAAAATATATTCCATTTTGTTCGCTCTGAACTGGTGTAATTTTGAGAAAAAGGAGAACTGAGCTTCACTACAGTAACTCTTATGTGGAAACTCATGTCTGTCTGTTTTGGACGGTAATAAAAATCTCACATGCTCTAGATATCTGAGAAAGAGTCGGGAAAAAGTACTTGCATTACATAATGAGTTCATGTTTCCTAAAACGGGGTTAACTAAACAAAATAAAAAGAAAATCGATCCCATGAACGAACATACGGCTCGAGGAACGTGGAATAAAAAAGTTAGGAACGCGCCAAGTACGTATTTTACCGGAAATTTAAAAAAAAAATTATGTTCAGAAAATGAAACGAAGAAGTGTGAAGAAACGGATTTGATTTCGTACACAGGAACCAAACTTGTGTAGTATTCGAATACCCAGTATTCTGAATCCTACTCAGAATACATTTGGCTGGTATTCGAATACTATTCGAATACATTTGTGTATTTGGTATTCGGTATTCGACTGAATACTTTTTTAGTCAGTACGCGGTATTCTGGATTCTGAATACCGTTTTTGAATCTCAGTATTCGAATACCCACTTTGTATTCGAATCCCTGTATTCGAATCCCGGTATGAACACGTTCTCGGTGGTTGTGGACGGTGGTGCTTCTGAATTCGCGATGCCGATGATCGGGTTGAATTTAGTCACTACGAAAACGCGAGATGAGACAGGTGGCACAAGGACGTTAGAAAATTAGATTAGGTACGTAAATGTTTGCAGTTGTGAGTATTGTTTTCCTAGTTTATAATAAATTTCAATACCTGATATAATTTGCGTGTAATACCAGTAATTGAACGTATAAAAGGTAAGTTTATTTTTTAATTATGTAGGTGTACTGTGTAGGTACATTATGTGTAAGAAACAGAGTCATTTGCAGGCGCCTCGAAACCTGTTAAAATGCCATTTATCTTAGTATTTTGGTGTGATTCTTACTCTCGCTTGGGGTTAGGAGTAGTAAAATTTTAACTTTTTGCAGGTGCAGATTATCGATGGAGAGGGATATGTTATGTTATGTTATGTTTGTTGAAGGTTCGTCCGACTCATTGTGACACTTTGTATCAAACAATAATTTATCAAATTTTATTCAATATAGATTTTTTATTCATTTATATATTTTTATAAATTAACTACATACATAAATATAAACGAGCTTTATGTGCGCAAATGTTTTTTTTTAATTAGAATATTCATAAAATATTCATATGTGAATGAATCCAGGTATTCGAAAACAGCGGTATTCGAATACCGTATTTCAGTATTCGACCCAAAACTGACAGGAACTATAGATCAATCGAATGTTGAGAATCATTATATTGATAATACTAATGATGATGATAATGATGATGCTGATAATGATGATGATGATAATAATAATTATAATAATAATGTGACATCGTTAAAGAAATGTTTATACTGCGGATACGGTCGTCTCGATTCAACTGTAGATTGGGTTGCTTGTGACTCTTGTCGACGTTGGATACATGTCACATGTGATCCTTCGTATGGAGATAAAACCTACAGCGGTTATTTTATATGCGAGTACTATTTTCCCGTAAAAAAACCAAACGATAAAACTAAATGATATAAATGTATGTATTTGATGTGATATGATAATATTGTTGATAATTATTATGAGTTGTGGATACATCCTATAGTGGGACAAAAAGGGTATTGACAGTGATTGTCATATTGATTGATTGGTTTTGAATAAAAAGTTATACTTAATAAACCACTTTCATCTATATTCAGAACCTTACATGGCGCAGTTTGTATATTGAGAACCGTTGCTGTCTGTTGCCTCTATTTTCCATCATGCCAAAAGCTGGAAAAAAAAAGCAGTCCAAGAAACTACTGACCCTGCTTCAAGTGAGTCAACATCGATACTTTTGTTAGAAGAATACACAAAGCAATCTCTAGCGAATATGGAGTCATCATTCACTGCACGAATGAAACAAATTCAGGATACCATAGATAAATTAATCCCAAACAAATCTGTTAGCCCCGATGAAGATGTTATTCCTGTTACGATGCACTCACCAAGTATAAGTAGGATGTCTACAGAAAATGTATCTAATCACCGCATCACTGGTGCCATTCCGATTCCAGACAAAATTGTAGACAACATTACGTTGGCTCAGTACAAAGATTGGATAAAAAGGTTTGGAAGTTACTTGGTTATTCATAGGCGTTACACATAGACGGGAAAGAAAAAGAAGCAAATATGTCGAACTTATGTGTTGATCTCTTGGATTTGAGTTTTAATCAGCGCAATACTTTGTATGACCTGTCGAATGAGATAGCTGCAAAGTTTAAAGGATATAAGAATACTGCGGACTTTGTCCAGGACATTTTCAGGACAAAAACTGACGAATCGTTCAAAATCACCATAAAGTTTCTAGCTCAAAACGCTTGAGTACACCAGCTTCTCTCCTGAGCAAGTATTGAAAGAATTCTTCAGGAGAGGATCAGCTATTACTGTTGATGAAACATGGGTTATCTATGCAGATGAGGAGACTGAGTCAAAAACAATAATGACTATAAGTTCAAAAAATATCAATCAGCATTTGGTCTTGCCCATCCTTTTCTGCGTAATGAGAGGAACAGCTACCAAGAAGATCCAAAAGCAATGGGTAAATCCATTGAACTTCATATTCAATGCGTATAAGACCTATAGCAGGAAGAAGGGCAGTGCTCCTCTGGGAAGAAATACCCCAACCATTGCAAGAATAGCTAGTTGCTTCCCTCATATTGTCTGTTACTTCCTGTCTCAAGGAGTCGGCAAAACATACATTGATGAATCAGTGATAGAAAAGACAGCTGGACAACAATTGCCAAGACTCATGCTAACTAACATTTTTGTCGGGTTGGTTCCTCAGACGGGGGACAGTGCTGAGTTAATAGACTATTGTGAAGTCTATCACTCCATGTTAGACATGAAATTGTCAGAAAAGAACCCTAAACAGTTAAGTGATGCAGTTAGGAATGTAGAGACTTATACCTCCGCAGCAGTGAACTCAAGTTTTCTTAGCCAAGAAGTAAAGAAATTCTTCTTAGGTGTCTTTGGTTTAACCCAAGGTGACACATTATCACCACAAATTAAAAGAATTTGTGTTGGCTCACGCATCTTGTGGAATTATGCTATCACATCAAAGGATCTACCTGGGTACTTTGCAAACGTAGCGAATATTCCAGCAATGGACCCAATTGAAGAATTCAAAACTGTGGAAAACATGGACAACCCTGCCAAGTTCTCAGGAGATACACTGGTCATTCTTGTATCCACCATAATGACTAGGGGTTTGTCTGCAAAAGATGAATGGCCTTCTGGTGCAGAGGGCATACCTAACATGCTAATGGGTTCACAGACTCACGACGATGTGATCACCAATAGGGAAGCCTTGAGATTCACCCACAACGTCGCTTACTTATTAGCAACATTGAGTAGGGTTCTCACTGACAAATCTTATTATTATATAATGCTAAGTTACATGAAAGCAGGCTACAAGATGGTTGCACTCATTGCAGCTGCTTTAGGTAGCCCAACTGTGTTTGGGAATGTGGATGTGACCACTAGCTAAACAATAACTGATAAGCATGTCACAAACACATCAATGGTTTTGACTGGTGGAAAAGACCTGTTCAAAGCTGGAGGGATCCCCATTTCTATTGACAGGAAAATTAACATTGGAGGGTTAGACATATAACTCAGTAGTTTGACCCATGCAATATAACTCAGTAGTTTGACCCATGCAATCAGAATGATTTGACTGACATTATAGTTATAAAGTATGCAGAACAAAATCGAAGAAAACTTTCATGTATTTTGCGACCCCTGATACGGGTGCAGAAGTATGGGTAGCTGGTGAAGACTTCTTAGCCAGAACGTCATTTCAAGTCGACCAGTTGAATCCAACCAAATTCAAGCTGGAATCCGCAGATTGTTCAGCACTCGATGTATTAGGCTATCTGAATTTTAAGATGAAATACGGAAATCACGAAACCGACCTAACAATTTATATATGCAGGAAGGTTAAAGAATTATTGCTAAGTAGACATTCTCTGATGAAGTTGAGAATTATTCATGATGATTTCCCAAAACCGCTTCCAGAACTATCACATCCTTTAAGTTCTGTGAATACTAAAAAACTTCCTAGACATCCAACAGACCAGAAGATCCTGAATATCAATTAGTAATTGACCATATCAAACGTGGATTTCCAGATTCGAAAAGATATATTGAAAGTTGCCTCACGCCTTATTGGAACGTGAAAGATGAATTAAGCGTGGAAGATGAGCTAATACTCGAAGGTTGTCAGATCCTTATTCCAAAAACCATAAGAAAATTAGTTTTGCAAAGACTTCATGATTCTCATCAAGGTGTGGAGAGAACTAAACGTCGATTGGCCTTCTATGTCTAACGATATTAAAAATTTGGTGGAATGTTGTGAATTATGTCAAACTTGCCGACCATCTCTCCAGAAGGAAACAATAATTCAAAATGCAAAATTATATGGTATATGTTGACCGTTTGTCTGGTTGGCCAATTGTGTGTCACTATGGTAATAGAGATCCAAATAGCTCGAAGCTCATTGAAGATTTGAAAACAATTTTCACAGACACAGGTGTACCCATACGACTTTGATCAGATAATATGCCCTTCAGCTCTTACGAATTCCAAACAATCCTCAAAAACTGGAAGATTTTTCATGCCCCATCTTCGCCATATTATGCTCAGAGTAATGGTCATGCAGAAGCAGGGGTCAAATCCATGAAGTTGCTAATCACGAAATATAGTGAAAATGGGCAATTGAATAACGACAAGTTTTGTTTGGGGCTGTTGGAATGGAGAAATACACCTGAAGCTAATGGTCGCTCGCCAGCCCAAATACTTTATGGTCATCAATTGAGATCTTTAGTGCCCGCTCATGGAAAAGCGTTTTCTCCTCAGTGGCAACTTAGTGCAGATTTGTGCGAGAAGAAAGCCATGACTCAGTTGAGGTATCAAAAAGACATCTATTACCAGCACGCTAAGGATTTACCTCAAATTTCATTAGGAAATACGGTGAGAATACAAAATCCGAGGACTAAGTTATGATACAGACTAGGAGTAGTAACAGAGATAGGTAGATACAGAAGCTATACAGTTAAATTACCAAGCGGAAGAATACTTAGAAGAAATCGGAGATTTTTACTCCCCGTCCCCGGAGGGATAGTGGAGAATGGGATATTATCCAGAGTAAAAAGGGGAGATGATGTGATATGATAATATTGTATAATATTGTTGATAATCATGAGTTGTGGATACACCCTATAGTGGGACAAAAAGGGTATTGACAGTGATTGTCATATTGATTGATTGGTTTTGAATAGAAAGTTATACTTAATAAACCACTTTCATCTATACAGGCTGATTTTAAAATAAGTGCATATATTTTGAACACTAAGAAAGCTTGAGGTATACAACCGAATAGCACTATTAAAAATATTATTAGGATCAAAATAGATTTGGGGCAAAATACCCTTTTTCCGCCCAGATTTCTACTTCTGTCACAACTATCGTTTGCGATCCGCAGTCGACCGTGATGAACGAAGCGACGTTGCCACTCTACATGAAAATTAGGAGATATTAAATAAAATGTATAATCGAGAAAATGTACATGGGGAAGAAGTTAACCCTGGTCTTGAATTTCAGAAAGATAATACAAAAACTTTAAAATGGACTCACCCAAGATTTGTACACATAAGCTCGAATAGCGTGTAGCTTAACACCTCACGGTTGGAAGTTCTCTTACTGAAAAATCCTTTAGACCCTTCCTTCCACCTCCTTGCATCGCTACAATTTCGTGTCCTTAGAGGAGTCTCATGGGCCCCGCACAATAACGACCCGACATAAGAACCATATCATTCAGCTCAATGTTTGAGAAATGCATCGTCAATTCGCCACATTCCAAGCAAATTGTCAGAAACAAAACTTTACATTTACTAGTCAGTGTTGTTCCTGGGTCTGATTTTTTCGTAATAGATTTCCTTGGAAAAAGGTTCAGATTTGTATAAAAAGGTAATAGACTCGAAAAATCTGACATTCATTCTTGTCAAACCCTATCGCACTAATCACAGTTTTGACATAAATATAGAACATAGAACGGAACATAATTATCCGCTGAGCACAGAAATAGATTTTTTAGTATTGGAACATATTTTGGTGCTAATAGCAAATAGTAATAGATTCATGACAAATCGTAATATCGTAACAATCTTCGTGAAATAGTAATAGATCGCGAACAATCCTAGTTAGTACTGTCAAAGGTCACAGCAAAGAGGAAATCTATGGTCACAGATACTACTGTTCTGAAAAATGATGTTGACAGATCATATGATAATAGTTTTGTTTGTGTGGTTGCTGGTTTGCAAAATAATTAGATTGCCAGGAAGGATATGTCGTCGTCGAGTCGTTTTCGATGGTTTAAGTGCGAATATGAACCAACAAGAACACAGGACAATATTAGTCTGGAATGGACTGGATATTAGTATTTGTTTGCTCTCGGGAGTTTTGCTGTTCGAGCAGGTATGAGAAAATCTACTAGGTGAGTTGATTTTCAACTTTGTGTATGTTGTGTACCTATTCATTGTCTGCTAATTTTGTATCTACCCGCTGGGGCCTTATTTTCGAATTGAAGGAAGGGGGACGTTCTATCATTCCCCTCATGTTTCTCTCCGTCTCTCGTGATCCATGGAGATAATCACCCCACAGTTCTCTCAGTAAACTTTAAAAAATAATAAGGCTCCTGTACATATTACATTCACCTCTATTAGTTTCCATAACCTATTCCAATTCATATTCATTCTGTGACAAATTTTTATCAGGATATTCGTCTCTGAAACAATCTGGCATCAATGTCTTTATACGTCCATGAATTGGAGATTCCCTGGGATTCCGCAGATTTCACTTGCTTCCCAGTGGCGTTCTCGAATTTCGAAGCATTTAATGTTCAATTTTCAAAATGAAATTTCTCGTTAATGTGAAGACTTAGGAAAAATCAAATATTTTAGTAATTTTTGTTAGACTCTCTCATATATATGTCTTGAATATATGCACTCATTTTAAAATCAGCCTGTATTCAGAACCTTACAGTATTGCGGTTTTGGTGATATCGATAGTACTGTTGCTTGGGTGGCTTGCGATAATTGTAACGGATGGATCCATCAAATTTTCGATAGTCAAAATCGATCTTACAGCGGTGATTTTTATTGTAATAAAATGTTCGAACGGTTTGAAATCAGAATGCGAGGAGGCATTGCGTAGGTTAGACAAAGAAAGTGTCAGAAAGAATATAATTGAACATAATACTTAAGATCAACGGGAGTCCTCTATGTGGTTCGAAGAAAGGAGGAAAAGAATAACCGCGTCAAATTTCGGGTCGATCTGCAAGGCAAGAGATCATGAAAGAAAATTAAAACTCGCGAAATCATTTATATCGCCTAAACATTTCGTTAACGAAGCCATAAAACACGGTATCGATCATGAAAAGTCAGCGCTCGACGCGTTCCTGGCCCAAAACAAAAAATATAAACATAAGAAGTGCGGTCTAGTTATCCCTCAACATTTTTCATTACTAGGGGGTTCTCCAGATGGACTTCTGGATGATGACGGGATTATCGAAATTAAATGTCCTTTCAAAGTGAACGACATGAAACTTTAAGAAGGCTCCAATATATCGGTAAGACGGGAAATTAAAAGTTACTTCAGTTCATTATTATCAAATACAGGGCTTACTAGAAATAACAAATAGACCGTTGTGCGAATTTGTAGTGTATAAATTCAAAGGTATACAACTAACTGAGAGGATTGAAAGAAACCTCGAATTTTTGAAAAATTCAATGTTGAATTAATTGAAAGAGTTTTTTTACCATTATCATCCCCCTAATTTGCTTAATTTCGTTGATATTGATGACATCACGCGTAGATGGAGACCTGTCAAAGATTTAAAATTCTTGTCCAATGGGCTAGTAAACGATATCGAATATTATACAGAAAGTAAAAGGGATTACGTTGTCGCGATATTCAAAGATTTAGATTGTTTTAATCAAATAAATATGTCAGATTTCTCTTCTCTAGTTAATAAAAATTGGTTAACGAATTTTGTAATAGATATCACTTGAAATCTACTAAATGTCGATAATAAATATAAAATAGTACCCCAAGAAATCGCGAGTGTTATTTTCAGTGGAAACGAAATTCCCAAATCTTTTTCAGAAAAAATATCTTTTGATAAAAATCATCTCGCGTTACCGGTGTTACTAAATAATAATCATCATTGCCTTGTTATTTTAGATTTCGTGATTTCGTGGAATCGACTTTCGCGTTTATGGATCCATTCAATAGTAACGCGGAAAACACAAGAAAACACCTCAAATTATTCAACAAATTCGTAGAGGCTTTCAATCAAGTACATAATGTATAAATTAAAAACGATTTAAAGGTGCATGTGTATAAACATGCGAAACAAAAAGATGATTTTAATTGCGGAATGTTTTGTATAAAATTTTTCGAGTGTATCGTAAATAAGAATGACATGACCGAATTAATGAATATGGAACAATATAGAAAAGAAATTGAAACTTTGATCCTAAATAAATCTGATGAAGGTCGGAAACGTTGCATAATATGTTCGCGAATCGGTGATCATAATAAATCAAGATATTGCGATTATTGTGGAAGATTTGTTCACAATGAGTATATTGCCACCAGTGGGGACTCATTTAAAAATGATAATATTTGTCAATTGTGTAGCAAATATTAGGAGTAAATTTTTTTAAATAACGCGGATTTCTTTGGGAAGGCTGGGTATGTTTTTGAATGAAGGAAGGGTAAGGCTTTGAGAGGAGAGAGTAGGCTTGCAGAGATGAGGTATTCAGCCTTATTTTTGTCTTCCCATCAGTGAAGATTCATTCATAAAAGTAATAATGTTTGTCAATTGAAAATCGCCAATAATTAGAGAATATTTTCCAAACTGCGGAATTCTTTAGGAAGGCTAGGTAGGTATATTTTTTGATGGAGGAAGGGTGAGGCTGTGAGGGGAGAAAGGAGGCCTTTTGCAGAGATGAAGTATTCAGCCTCATTTTTGTCTTTCCATCAGTGAAGATTCATTTATAAGAGTAAGTGTTTGTCAATTGAATATCGCCAATATTTAGAGAATATTTTTCAAAACTACGGAATTTTTTAGGAAGGCTAGGTAGTTATATTTTTAAATGGAGGAACGGTAAGGTTGTGAGGGGAGAAAGAAGGCTTTTTGCAGAGATGAGGTACTCAGCCACATTTTTGTGTTTCCATCAGTGAAGATTCATTTATAAAAGTAATAATGTTTGTCAATTGAAAATCGCCAATATTTAGAGAATATTTTTCAAACTGCGGAATTATTTAGGAAGGCTGGGTAGGTATATTTTTTAATGGAGGAAGGGTGAGGCTATGAGGGGAGAGAGGAGGCCTTTTGCAGAGATGAGGTATTCAGCCTCATTTTTGTCTCAACGGATCGTAGCATATTGGTGTGGGATGATAGGGCTAGGCGAACTACCCACTAACAAAAAAAAGTAACGCGCCCGTGTCAGAGTTTTTGTAGAATATTCCAAATTAGGATCGAAAAAATCCCCGCAATCCCTATCGAATAAATATTCAAATGATCATGTAAACTTTATTTGCTAGAATGTCACAAGGAAACACCCCTTTTTGAAAACAACGACTCTTTGGATATGTTACAGCTTTCTCAAGTCATTTAAAATTCATCTGGTTTTTTGACATTCAATAATATATGCGAATTTTTTTCATTAAGGTCCAGATATACGGTGATATGAAACAACCTTTGGATCAAAGACAAGTACCAGGTGGATTAGCAATCAAATTTCGCAATTAATAGATATATTTTTTACTTAGTCACTAAAAAACACTATTATCAGAAACCAAAATATTCCAACATTCTCTATAATCCACGTAGATTACGAGACTACATATTTGAAGACCTTGGGACCGAACGGGGAAAGGTCACAATTCTGTAGGAAATGAGATGACTGAACTAATGCACATTGTACTCCATCATTGATATTCTAATAGCCAAGTGCAGCTACTAGATGATAGATGGCACTACTACCATAAGATCCCGTTTTGGCAACTTCGTTTTATTTTGCATCAAAAGAGGGCAAGCCACTGTTGAAATCAACATGGCGTCGGAACATCCACGTGTTTGTAAGAGAATATTAGACTTTTTCCAGTTTTGTGATTGTCAGCGCATATACGAAAATGGAAAAGAAAAATGGACTGTATGTTATATTTTACACGTTGACCTTGATACTTTTCAGAATTGAATATGATTGAATCCTTCGATTAATAATTTATCCTAGGTTGTCGCACACACAAAATGCCTTATAAATGCTAAGGGTGCACTCACCGGCTGTTGTTGTAATCGCCGCAGGTAGGTACCCTGTTACTGGACTGCCATTCCAATCACCAACCCATAAGGAAAGTCTGTTTCACAATTTCACTGGCGAAAGTACTTGAACTTAAATTGAATTTTTAATGGAAATTTCACAGCGTAAACCGGCTACAATGATTGTTAGCCATTCTTTTTGTCTCTGCTTGCGCATGACCACCTATCTCTTGGTGTCTTCACCTGCGTGCGTTCCCCAAAAGCAAGGAAAGCACCTGTGTGTGATTTTAGCGCGAAAAATTGATTGAATGATCAAATAGAAAAATATTATATAGAAAAATTCGTTTATGCGCGAACATAACCGGCCGCCAAAACAAACATGTTTTAACCCAATCTCAAACATGAGAATTTGAACTTATAAAAATTAAACAAAAAACAGAAGTGAAAGAAAAAAAAACAAAATTCTATATACCCGAAAGGCGAAATTACTGCTGGTCCACATCCTGGGTAGGTAGAGGACACAGCTTTACAATTGGACGACGAAACAGTCCGCTCGCAGTCTTTACGGTGACGACTCTCACGTGACCGTCCTCTCCGGGAAAAATTTCGGTCACACGACCAAGTGGCCACCTTAACGGAGAAGTGGTTTCACTTTTGATAAGGACCAAATCATTCAGCTTTACCTCAACGACTGGATTAATCCATTTCGTACGTTGTTGTAATGTGTTAAGATATTCTGTGGAGTATCTTCTCCAAAAATCCGTAACTAATTTTTGTATTAACTGCCAACGATCAAGTCGATTTAGTTTGATACTAGAAATATCAGGTTCTGGAATAACAGGCACTAGGGGTTTCAACGTCACGAAATGTGAAGGAGTAAGTGGGATTAAATCATTGGGATCACCGGACTGAGAGTAGAGAGGACGACTGTTTAAGACAGCTTCTATCTCACATATCAATGTGTGCATCTCATCGTAAGAGAATATTTGGTCGCCAACCACTCGAACGAGGTGTGTTTTAAAACCCTTTACGCCCGCTTCGGCGAGTCCATTGAAGTGAGGCCCTGTAGGGGGTGAAAATTTCCACTTAAGTGACAGTTTCTCGGAAGCTTGTTTTGCCAGCTCAAGCAGCTGATTATGAGCCCCAACGAAGTTTGTGCCGTTGTCACTCTGACAAAAGACTACTGTACCACGTCTTGATATGAAACGCCTAAAGCACGCTATGAAACTCTCTGTTGAGAGGTCGAGCACAAGCTCTAAATGGATGGCAGTTGTAGAGGTACATACAAATACACATACGTAAGATTTGAATCTTTTTGAAACACCTCTACCTCTCAAGGGCGTTATCAAAAAGGGGCCGCAAAAATCTATAGCCACGTGAGAAAATGCAGCTATCTGGGAAATCCTGTAACTCGGTAAGTCTGCCATAACTGGAGGCGTATATGACTTGGGGCGCGCTCTGAAGCATTTTACGCAACCAGAGAGCGTTTTTTGAATGGCCTTCCTGGCCGAAAGAATCCAGAATTGCTGCATTAGTAAATTAAGCAGCGTTTTAAAACCTGGATGCAAGTATTTAGCATGAAAGTGTTCTATTATGAGTATGGTTAGTCTGTGTGAACTTGGTAGTAGTAAGGGATGTTTAACAGAAAATGGCAAGTCTGATGCGTTTCTTAGGCGTCCGCCCGCCCTGAGGAACCCATCGGGATCAAGAAAAATCGATAGTTTACGAAATGGCTTTGGAAGCAATTTATTTTGTTGGATTGTAATCAATATTTCGGAAAACACTGTGGCTTGAACATGTTTAATAAGACACATTAAAGCTCTTTGAAGCTCATCTACCGTAGGGTAACCGAAATAGCATTCATCTGGAATATGCCGTGATTGGAAGTTCGTAAAAACTCGGATGCAGTAAGAAATAATTTTTTGAATAATAAGTAATTTAGAGTATTTATTTAGTAAATTATCAAACATGTGAGTTTCTACAATTACATTGAAAACCACTCGTTTTTCCTCACTAGATATTAATTTTGACTCCGTTTCATCAAGTTCATGCAAACATGGCATGTCTAACCAGTCTTCTCTTGTCTGGGAAAGAAAGGCAGGCCCTTTCCACCACAAATCATGAGCTAAAAGACTGGTGGGGGTAAGACCTCGGGAAGCTGCGTCTGCGGGATTCAAACTGGAAGGAATATAGCGCCAAGAAGAATAAGGGACAATATCTTGAATATGGCTAACCCTATTGGCCACAAATGTCTTCCATTGGCAAGGAGACCCCCTCAACCA